ACTGGAAAATGCATTTATTGACTTTATCAATTCTAAAAATTCTGAATTCTACTCAGACGGAATTAATAAGTTACCAACACGTTGGGAGAAATGTATTGAGAGTATGGGAAATTATTTTGATTAAAGAACATTGCTTTAAAGTAACTAGTTTCTTTTTTTTTGTTTAATACCAAAATCCTGCATTATTTTCCGGACAACCCAATACATGTAGTTTAAATAAAAATATGAACGCCCCGTTCTTTTGTCTTCGACTGTACTCGATGCGACACGACGAAAATCTAGACAGTGGGGATCGCAGAGCGTCGGGTAGATGTGCATGGGGGTAATGAAACCTTATGGAAAATCGGAGTTTGGATTTGCGTCTGGTAGCATCGGGTAGCGTCGCATCGGGGAAGTGTGTTTCTGGCTTATGGGACGCTACCCGATGCTGCCCGACGCCTTGTCACGTTTTGGTAGGGTGTGCACATCTACTCGACGTCTAGCGCATGCCACGTACTGTCACACAGTATGTATCACAATCGCAACGCCTCTTTTGTTCTTAATGCAGTATTTGGAGCAAAACCTTCTACTAAATTGTTAGTTAAATTTTATGAGCATAACCATTAAATAAATTGTTTGTTAAACTTAATTGTTTTAGATAAAGTTACTCCTAACTATCATAATTAAACAATGTTTATAAAAACTTATGCATTTTTTATCTTGTTTAATTGGTTTACATTAAAATATCATGTTGTAATTAATATAACGGCAAAATTACATGTACTTAGTTTGAAATAAACTACAAAAAATATGAGAGTCCTGTTCTGTTGCTACCCGACATTAGAAAATGGTGTAATTTTACGAGCAAAACTATAAAATAAATTGTTAATTAAATTTTATGAGCAGAACCGTGTAATAAATTGTTCCAATTTTAGTATATGTACCGCCGAAGCGAGTACAATAAATTGTCAGTTAAATTCATTATATCAAAAAATCGTATTTCGTTGTTTTGATTAATTTTCTACCAAACCATTAAAATTAATTTTTTTAAAAATAAAAACTAATTAATTTTTAATCACAGTTAATTTGGTTTCTATTAAAATAAGTATGTTGTAATTAATATAACGTCAAAGTTGCATATAAATAGTTTGAAATAAACTACAAAAAATAAGAGTGTCCTGTTCTGATGCTAGTCGCGAAAACGGTGTAATTTTATGAGGAAAACCATGAAATAAATTGTTAGTTAAGTTTTATGAGCAAAACCGTGTAATGAATAGTTAGTTTAATTCATTATATCAAAAAATGGTATTCCGGTGTTTTGATCAATTTTCTACCAAACCATTAAAATTAATATTTTTTTAAATAAAAACTAATGAATTTTTGATCTCGGGTAATTTGGTTTATATTAAAATAAGTATGTTGTAATTAATATAACGACAATAATACAAGTAGCTTGAATAAAAATATGAGTGTCCAGTTCTTTTGTCTTCGACTGTACTCGATGCTACTCGACGAAAATCTGGACAGTGGGGATCGCAGAGCGTAGAGTAGGGTAGCGTTGCGTGGCATCGGGCAGATGTGCACGGCGGTAACACAATTTTATGAAAAATTTGACTTTGGATCGATCTTTGCGTCGGGTAGTATCGGGTAGCGTCGCATAGCGTTGCATCGGGAAAGTGTGTTCCCCACATAATAGGGGATTGTAACATTTGCTCAAGCCTAGTTCTCATACCATTCAGGTTTCTTACTCGCTCTCTATAAGGAGCCAAGGAGTCACTCTTCAATTAAGTGGGACAGATCGTGTAACCTTTCCCTACATTCTGGACATAAAAGTAAGTGCCCGTTTGTCAACATAGTATGGCCAATTCTCAATCGGGTTTCCTCTTCTACGATTCGGATTCTCCGAGGAATTCGAGACAGTACGTGACATTAATTTTTCATATCAACCTCACTTTTCATATACATAATTAATCAATTACTTAAAATTAAAAATATACTTCGGTTCAGATGACCAATAAAAACGTATAAATAGATACCTAGTTTGAATACGTTTTGTATCTAAATACGCAAATTATTTATTTATTGCCATTTTTGTGTATAAGTGTTGAAGAATATTTATTTTAAAAATAATAGGCTGCAAATTTCTCATTGATGACGAACGAACAACGTACAAGAAATTTGCAAAAATCACGAGAATATGAATAAGTTGTAAAAAAGGATTTTAAATAATATGGTATTTTTATGTTTACACACTTCTTTCTTGGTGAAACTGTGAAGGATTTATAACATGATATAAATGTACAATCGATCTATAAATAAAATATGATCATAGTGACACAAAACTACACAATGATGACAGTTTAAAATTGCACTTACCATGTAGAGAGAAAGCAATAAAAACGTCAGAGCGACAGTCATGTTGTCGGTGAAACCAAGTTGAGACGAGCTGTAGGAAGAGACACCTCTATGATTTATACATTACACTTATGCACACATAATGCTGATGTAAACAAAGCGTGGGGGAACCCTTGTTTCGTGTTTTTCCTGTTTCTCGAGTCAATGTTGACAAAAGTGTTGTTACTTCATTGTTCAAGTGATTCATTTCCCATTGTAGATAACTCAGTTTCAAACACAGAAATTGGTCAGACCCTGACATGAAAACAGGCTAAATTCCAAGGGATTCCCGAAGGCTGTAATGACAATTGTGAAATTTAAGCATAAGAAGATTGTTTGGTTTAAAAAACTATCCATTGTTTTTAAGAAAATATTTTTCTTTCATGTTTTTTTCTATACAGATGTGTAAATCATTCCATCAAATATCAAGTATAGATTACAATAAGATTCTGTTCTAATAAGTAAAACTCGTACGATGGAATTATTTGACGGATCATCAAAAATTAATGTACAGTATCTATGAAAAAACCCTGTGCTAATAATACAATCGTTGGCTAGTTGCAACTCTCTTTCATCCCTAGGGCCAGGCCCATATTTTTTCTTACTTTTTTATTTCAAAGGGCTAACGTTCCCTAAGGGCCAGTGTTTTTAAGAGCGCGTTCTCGTAAAAAAACAACATTCATTCAAAGAATAATTAATGAAGCATAAAGAATTAATTTGAACTGATCCGCGCGAAGAAAAATGGCTGGAGCTGGAATTTGACGTGTGAGAAATTATTTATTTTTTCGCTCGGTTTCACTATGATTACGTTAACAAACTTTGTAAACAATGGTTAAATTATTAATAGTTTAACTCAAAAAAACATTCCTTTATTAAATCCATTGACATGTACGCATTAAGAGTATCCTTGAGGAACAGCAATTTTTTCTGTATTATCAGTAATACAGTACTTCATTTGGACAGTGATTTTAATTTATCAAAAGATATTATAAACAATAACAGTTATTTTATTCATATGTTTTTATCGTAATTGTATGTTTATGCTATGATAATATGTATCACCTTAAATTATTGTAAATAAGTAATGATAATATAATAGGTATCCTGGAATTTGGGAATCGACAAGCTTTCAAAACAGCTCGTGGTGAGCAAGGCTATAAAGAAATGTTTCTGAAAAGTGGAGAAAGGTCTGGAAAATTAAAGAAAAATGATATATTATTTATATAAAATGATGTGATTTGGAATTTATATATGAACATTGAAGATACTTAAAAGGAAAAGAAAACCCAGACCCTGAAGTTGATCTCAAAAAAGATCGAAACGTTGGCACGATAAAGAAAATGTTTTTCTAAACCTCCGTCATACCAGACCGCATGTCACGATCTCCAAATAATCTTGATGAGAAAGTTATGTTGTTACAAAAAGCGTACTCCCTCACGCGTCTTCTGTCGGGCGAAACTCAGAAATGGTTAATCCTAAGACATTATAGAAAAGGCCAAAAAATGAAGAATTACATAAACGAGCAGAACTCTGCTTATTTTTTTAATTTTTTTTTTTTTTTTACTTTTCTTTGTAATTCTTTTTCCTGACATTTAAAATTTAAAATTTAAAAACATAAAATGTACCAAATAAAATAAAAGAAATTTGAACAGAAAGAAAAGTTCCAGAGGGATAGAGGATCGCAGAGAAAAGGCGGTTTGGAAAAAGAAACTGAAAACCATAACCTCGCAGGGTTCGATTCCTACTTTCGCGCCGACCCTTTTTTTCATGTCATCCTTCCTCCATTAATGTAACATTAAACAGACACCTTCCTAGACCCATATACTATGTTCGTATGGCCATTAAAAAAATGCATATTGCATCCAAGCGATTTAAAATAGTCGAGTATATTTTTCACAATTTATTAGCAAAGCAGCAACCATTAGTTTGCGAAACTGCGAACTATGAAAATTCTTGTTATAGTTTTCCCATTTGTGTTTATAAGGTCACTATAACTGAGCTATTAAAAATATTGTCATTTTACAAATAATGCTTTTACAAATTATTTCGTTAGTCCAAGTTTGATTTATAAAGGTGTAAACAAAATATTCCTCGAATCAATAAAAATGTATTGTTTGATCAAGTGGACTGTATTGGTTAAAAATTAAACTAAAATAAAATGAATTATAAAATAGAAAGGACAAAAAACACTCACCTCCGATGACGATAGTCCAGCTACCTCAACTGAGGTAAAGGGGGATGCAAGGAGGAAAATGTTCGGAAAAGGCTGGAAAAGTCTGGACGGGGACCTTCACCACGCAGATGTCTCAGGAACTTCACCAACCGGAGCGATGACGACGATAAATTCATAAAATGAAGTCAATAAACGAAAAAAAAACTTCAAGCTGGATCACGACTTATATAAAATTACAATTGCTAAAGACGACGACACAACGTATTCAAGCCTTGATCTGGCCGACGACTAGGCCGGAAAACATGGCGGGAAGTTTTCCGAAATCTTATCCCGAGTAATCGTTACGGCGTAAATATCTATGTAATAAAAGTAATAAACGAATTAATTTGGTATGAGATGTTTTACCCAAAGATGAGCATTATTTGCGTTATGTGTAGAGATTAGTGACCGTTAGTCGATAGTTATTCAGATATCGTGAGATGCGGTCGGGTGTGATGTAGGTTTCAGAAAAACATTTTTTTTATCGTGCCAACGTTTCGATCTTTTATTGAGANGCCCTGAAGATGATCTCAATAAAGATCGAAACGTTGGCACGATAAAGAAAATGTTTTTCTGAAACCTACATCACACCAGACCGCATCTCACGATTTCTCTATAATTATCGATTAACGGTCACAAATCACCACACAAGTGTTTGTCTTCTGTGTAATTGTGCCATTCTTGCGTGTCGTGTTGAGAGTTTTCTGAAACCTACATCACACCAGACCGCATCTCACGATTGCTGAATAATTATAGAAAACTTTGTCCATTTTGAAGTTGTGGTCCATCAACAAAGGTACGACTTCAGAATGTAATTCCTGAAAACGTGAAAGTGCTTATGTACGGTGATGCTGGGAATGATGAAGTCTTCTCATAACGACACATATTATGGTGAAAAATTTGACTTCAATAATTGTGTTTCATAGTTAAAACATGTTTGTGGAGAACACAACGACTGCTGCTGCAAAATAAAAAGACTTTCGTCTTCAATACTCATTGTTAGTAGTATTTTACTTTTGTATACTCACTCTACGTTCATTTTTGTAATTATTAATTTTTGTGTTCGCTGCGGATCCCCTACTTAGGGAAGCCCCGATTACTTCTTTAGCAACCAAAAATAAATGAAAAACGATTTTCAAGTCATAGAAAATTGAGCTGAGTTGTGTAATCAGACCGTTTATTTTATTATTATGGCAGATTGGCAGTAAAATTTTAATTGTATCACATTTGCATACTAATAATTCAGATCCCTCAAATAGATAATTTCAGGTATTATATCATACTGTTAATTTCTCGGATTGACTTATCTCGTCGCTTTGCTTTGCCTTCAAGGATTTCCCTTTCACGCAATGTCACGTGACGTCTGTCATAAATTGATTTAGGAGTGATACGATATATACGTTGGGTTCATTGTTATAATTGGCGATGATACCACTAGTTACAAGAACCCGCTTAAATAATTCATAAAATGCACTAAAGGTTTGGGACGGAGTTTGTCTTCAAAGAAACCATCTATTAAAACATAACTGCCAAGTGCGGACATGTTTAAAATTGGTTTCTCTGATGACGACATTAATATAGGCAGTAATAAGTGAATTTGTTTCTTCAACATGACCATACAAAGATCAAGTTTAAGTGCACATAACACTTTAAACTAAATAAGAAATTAGAGGGCGCCGGTGGCCGCAACTGGTTACGCGTCGACACGGCGCTCATCATGTAAAATAAAGGTCCATCCAAGGATCAAATCCAGCGACCCAACATTCAAACGCGTCATACTTACAAATGAGCTGTTATCACCTAAACCCTCGTAAAAAAATAATAATAATAATTAATTTAAAACTAGAATGTACCTTCTATCCCTCGGCTTATGTTTTGTGCTTTAAGAATGTGTAAGTTTTTTCAATTTTTTTAAAATTTTATTTATGTACACGAAAAAGCTCGTGGTCCATCCACTAAAGAAACGTATACTGAAGATGGTGAAAGACCGAAATGCGATTAACAGACGAAAACTGCAGTACTTGTCAAGACACTGTTTCAGAGTAAGTTTAAGAAATTACTTCTCTGAGACATGACCAATCCCACAAGGGTGCATTCTTGGTCACATCCTACAGCCAAACTGCCGATACACCCCAAAACCAACCTTACAACGTACGAGGATGATAACGCAATTTTTTCTTCTAACTCCAATGTAACTACGCCACTTCCTATATCCAGGACCACCTTGGGCTCAATGATGAATGGTGCAAACGGTAGAAGATGAAACTGAAGGACAAATGCACCCAAATTTCACGTTGATGAAACAGCATTATCCACATTATACGTTAACTGTAAAGAACTACGGACATCAACGAAAGTGAAATTCACATACTCTAACATCCAACGAATCCACGCATTCCAATCAAAAGTCCTCAGAAGAATTCTCCAAACTCTTTATTATTTCTCCAACCTACCCATCCTCAAAAAATAGATTCGTTTCCACTTCTAGAAGTTTCACTCTAATCTTTCAACCATCCTAACACGTTCAAGCCCTGTTAATCCATTACCGCTCATCTCAACGCCTCAAACTACGATGGCCCCAGACCTCCTCGCCCCATATCAAACTAAGTGCCAACGTGCCAACATCGGCTGGTTTCACATAACACGTGTCCACGAATAATTTGTAATGTTTATAATCCGTCCATAGTATACCAATACATATCCTGATTTAAAAAAAATATATATATATATTTTAAATCAGGATGATCAGAAACGACCAAACTACAGATTCGTACACTCCGCAGACCAAATTACCTAAATATACTAATTATCTTGGTTTATGTAGGGGTGAAAATGAGATACTTATTTTTAGATCAGTGTTATAAACATTAAATATTTAAGGATTTTACTGCATTGATTACCGTCAAACGAAACCTAAACTGACCAAGAAATGCAACTTTTTATACAGAAATACATTTAAACAAACAATTTTAGGTAGGAAATTCGCATTTTTCCAATACCCACAAATTGGTGTTACTAATTTTAAAATTGAAACTGAAAACACATTTTATAAATTTAAATCCATTGTAATGAAGAGTGCAATTACATACGAAATGATAAGTGGCAACTTCAATAGTATATCTGTATTTGATTGGTAATAATTATTTATACTGCTGAGAGTAATGGGGTAATAA